CTTTTTATCTATCTATCTATCTATCTATCTATCTATCTATCTATCTATCTATCTATCTATCATCTATCATCTCCTTCCTAGTGGGTATGAAGTAGTATCTCTTGGTTTTGATTTGCATTTCTCTAATGACTAGTAATGTTGAGAATCTTTTTTATATGCTCTTTGATCAGTTGATTATCTTCTTTTGAAGAATGTCTTCAGATCCTTTGTCCATTTTTAAATTGGGTTATGCACGTCTTTTTTTATTTTGATGCCTACAGCACCTGGTCTTCCTAGGTGATCTCCCATCCAGGTAGTAAACAGACCCGGACCCTGCATAGTTTCCAAGATCAGACGGGATTGGGTTTGTTCAGGGTTGCATGGCCATAGACTATGCACGTTTTTTTATTATTGAGTTCTAAGAGTTCTTTATGTATTCTGGATATAAGATCCTTAACAGATAAATGATTTGAAAGTATTTTCTGATTCTGTAGATTTTTTCACTTTCTTGATGGTGAATATGTCTTTCATGAACAAAAGTTTTCTGATTTTGATGAAACCCAATTTCTTTATTGGCTATTCTGAGTTCTCTGCAATTCCAATTTCTATAAAGAAGTCAGCCAAGGTCCTGATAGGAATGCACTGAACCTGTAGGTCAGTTTGGAGGTATTGCCATCTTAATGTTAGCTTTCCAATTAGTGAAAATCAGAAGTTTTTCCATTTATTTTATTTTATTTTTTTCCCCACTTATTTTAGATATACAGCAATGTTTTTGTTTTTTATAGTATAAGTTTTATACTTCATTTGTTAAAATTATTCCTAAGTATTTTATCTTTTTGATTCTTTTGTAAGTTGAATTGTTTCCTTACGTTCATTTTTGGTTTGTTTGCTGCTAGTATATAGACACACAACTGATTTTTGTGTATTGATCTTGTATCCTGAAACCTTGCTGAACTTGTTTATTCTAATAGTTTTTAAGTGGATTTCTTAGGATTTCCTATATTTAAGCTCATGTCATCTGCAAATAGAGATAGTTTTACTTCTTCCTTTCCAATTTTGAGGCCTTTTTCTTGCCTAATTGCCCTCGCTCAAACCACTGATTCTTACTTTTCTTACAGAAGTTTAGTAGATTTTCCTGAATAAATGTTTATTCATTTGTTATATGCCCTTAGGACCATTTCTACAGACTTTAAGTGGTTGGTTTTTAAAATAATTTTCACTAGTTTTGCTGGAAGTGGGACCACGTAGCTCCTCACTCTCTCATGTTGGAAATAGAACTCTGGGAATTGCATTTTAAAAGACTAGATGTAAAATGGTTATGCTAGACTTAAAAGAATCAACTTCTGATGGAGATATTTTAGACCAAGCATTGAACTGCTGAGGCTTGTAAGAAGTGGAGGATATTCCCCAAAGCATAATTTGTGGGAGACAACTTATGCTATTCTTCTGTGAATCAATGAAAGAGACCAAGAAAAAACCTGCTATGAAACCCAGTAAGAGTTCTGTCACTTCTAGATGCTCCAACTACATTTACTCAGCATACAATAATGTTTTTCTAAGATTTTATAAAAAATTTTAAACATACAGAAAAATTGAAAGAATGTTATATTGAACACCATATTCTCACCACCTACCACTATAGTTAACATTTTATTGTATTTGCTTAATGACATATCTATCTATCCAGTCATCTTATTTCTTAAACATATTTTATAAGTTAAAGATATCAATACATTTCCCTCTAGACACTTCAGCATGCACATCATTAACTAGAGCTTAATATTTGTTTACCTTTTTAAAGGTGAAATTTACATAGAGTGAAATGCACAAATCTCAAGTGTAACATTTGATGAGTTTCGACTAATACAGACACTGATACAATGGAAACCTCTTTTAAATTTTGAGACAGTTTCACTCCAGAAAGCTTCCTTAATCCCCTTTTCAGACAATCTCCCCATCCCTATCCACCAGGTAACCACTCTTCTAATTTTTTTAAACCATAGCTTAATTTCACTTCTCTAGGACATTATATAAATGGAATAGCATACACTCTTTTGTGTAAGGCTTCTTTCACTCGACTTTGGAGATTTACCCATGTTGTTGCATTAATTAGTAATTGGTTCCTTTTGATTCTATCGTGTGACCATTTCTTTACTTTCCTGTTGATGAATACCTAGATTGTTTCCATTTTAAAGTTATTATTACTCTAGTTGCTCTGGCATTCAATATAATCTTTCTGTGGATACATGCTTACTTCTGTCTTGAAGGAATGCCTAGGAGGGGAATTTTAGGGGTCATAGTTTTGGATATATTTACTTATAAAAGAAATTACCAATATATATACTTTTTTTCCCAGCGCAGTTACACTATTTTACATTCTCATCAAAAATGAAGGTTCTGTTTGCTTCATGTCCTTGCCAAACTTTGGTGTTGTCCGTGTGAAAAATTTTATACATTCTGGTTCATGTGTAGATGCTTTAATTTATATTTCTCTGAGGATAAATGATAGTGAGCACTTTTTCACATACTCATTGGCTATTTGCATCTATTCTTTTGTGAAATATCTGTTCCAGTCTTTTACCTGTTTTTAAAATTGGATTATTTTTTTATTAGTGAGTTGTAGGAATTTTATGAATATCCTAAAAATCAGTTCTGTGTCAGATATATGTATTTTGAATATTTTCTGTCAGACATATGGCTTGCTTTCTCATTTTTATTTATAGTATCTTTGATGAGCTGAAGTTTTTAGTTTCGATGAATTCTAATTTCATTTTTTTCTCTTAAAAAATGTGTCCTGTCTTTTTTTGTGTGTGTCTTGTCTATGAAATCTTTGCCTATCCTCAAATCATGTAGATATTCTTCTGTGTTTTCTTTTAGGGCCTTCATAGTATTAGATTTCACATTTTAAATTATTTTTGTGTATATTGTAAATAAGTTATTAAGATTTATTTTTTCTTTATAGATATATAGTTCTTGGTCTTGCGATATTTTTTTATATTTTCTCTGAATCACCTCATTTTATAACTAGAACTTATAGCCATTCACTTTTTGCTTTTGTTTAGCAATCCTGACTTTCACTTTTGTATTGTTTTCTGGTATTTACTAAACTTTTGTTTAGAAGTTTTAAAAAGGAAAGAAGAACTGTGAATTTGCCTCAATTAGTCTGGGGTGGACTGTCTTGTATGTTGTAAGATCAGAAGTTTTAAAGAGCAGTAATAAAGAGGCAGTTAGTTCACAGAAAGAGAAACTAAGTTTGCAAACCGAGGTTCAGTTAAACCCTGAAAAATCAGTTGGTAGAGAAACCTTTGAAATTCACATATTTCACTCTCTGTTAAAGCTTAAGTTGATATTTGGCTTACACTGTCTTCTTCCATCAAACACTGTCAGACGACCAAAATCCAATATGATAATAACACCTGATATTCATGTAGCACTATGCAGTTTATAAATTACTTTCACAAATAAAGTAAGGTAATAATTACTCATACCATTAAAAAAGAAAGATGAATACATGGAAGTGCTGAATGGCTATATAAGTTACCCACAGTTATAGAGCTAGTACATGGTGAAGCTAAGGCTAGAGTTTATTTTTTTAGCTTATAAATAACAAATTTATTTCTCACAGTTCTGGAGCCTGGAAAGACTAATATCAAAGTGCCAACATGATCAAGAGTTTGGTGAGAGCCCAACTTCCTAAAATGCACCTTCTCACTGTGTCCTCACATGGTGAAAGAAGCAAAGGAGCTCTCTTTTATAAAACCACTAATCCCATTCCTGAGGGCTCTGCCCTCTGATCTAATCTAAGGCTAGAGTTTAGATCTTCTGACTCTGTCAATCTTCTTGAGATGAAAAATAATTTCCTTGATCTCTGTTTATATCCTTCTTTCTCCCTTACCCCTCTCCTCTTCTGTCCCATTCTAATCTATCATCCACAGTGTCCTGCTCCTGGCTGGTGAAATGGTTACAGTATAGCAAGACACAGTGCTATACAAAATGTGCAGGTAGCCTGTTTAGCATCCTTTCAGATTTGATGCTATGGAATAACTTAGCAGATAGAATGAATTAGTTTTCATTTTAATACAGTAATATATTTCTCCTCAATGTCATTTTCTGTTCTTTTTAATTCTCAATTTTTTAAAATTGATTTTCTTTTTAGGGAAGTTTTAGGTTTACAGAAACATTGAGCAGAAGGTCCAGAGAGTTCCCTATACTTCCACCTTCCCCCAATAGTATTAACATCCTGCATTAGTGTATCATATTTGTTACAATCAATTAGTCAGTAGTGACACATTATTCTTACCTAAAGTTCATAATTTGCATTAGGGTTCACTCTTTGTGTTTTACATTCTGTGGATTTTGATAAAGATATAATGATATGTATTCACTATTACACTATTATACAGAGTAATTTTACTGCCCTAAAAATCTACTGTGCTCCATCTCTTCATTTCTCCCTATCCCGATCCCCTGCCAACCAGTGATCTTTTTATGATTTTCATAGTTCTGCCTTTACCAGATGTCATATAGTTGGAATCATACAGTATGTAGCTTTTTCAGATTGTCTCCTTTCAATTAGCAATATGCATTTAAGTCTTCTCCATGTCTTTTCATGGCTTGGAAGATCATTTCTTTTCATTGCTGAAAAATATGTCATGATATGGATGTGTTTCACAGTTTGTTTATCCATTTACCAGCTAGAATATGCTCAACATCAGCTCCACTTTTGTAAAACATAGACATGGATTTTATTTTAAGAGATGAGAAAAAAACTCCTGCCTATTAGGAGTTGAATCAATCCCCTTTGCAAGGGCAAGGAATTGGGAGCAAAAATTCTCTACAGTTCTGAAAAGTTGAAGCAGGTCATACAGAAACAGAAGAGCTTTGACTGAGAATCATTCTCATGTTCCTCCAGAAGGGATACTGTGGGCAAGAGTGTCTCGAGAATCTGAATAAATAGGCCCATGATCATTGCAAGAACCCAAGTGTGTAACTTTTCATAAAAGTACCTCTCTGTTTTTCAGTGTGTCAAGAAGCTGTCTGGGAAGCTTTCAGGACTTTTTGGGATCGACTTCCTGGGCGTGAGGAGTATCGTTACTGGATGAATTTGTGTGAGGATGGAATCACAACTATATTTGAAATGGGCACAAATTTTAGTCAGTCTGTGGAACATAGAAGCTTAATTATGAAGGTAAGTTCAGTAACAAGGGAAGGAATTGCTGGATTTTTGTAGGAGTGTGTATATGCAGCTAGAGCCTAAAGGAAAAAAGAACAAGGGACAGATCCCCACATTACTGTTTTTTGTTGAATTAGGCTATTTGAGTGAGCAGCCAGAGGGGGTGGCCTAGTCTTTGTATCCCTAGATCTGGCCATTATAATAAACATTGTTAATTCAGTAAAAGCCTCAGCCTTGTTTATAAATGTAAATGTTTGGACATAGTACTCAGCAAAGATTTAGGCTAAGAACATAAGTGAGGGTCAAACATTTTTGCTAAAGTTTTACATATTACCAATTCAGATTGGATATCAATGACTCTAATTAAGATAGAGGATATAGTTCATTGAATAAATGTCTAGTAAACTATAAATGTGATTTCAATTGATGAATTTGCTTACTCGTTTTCCTTGCTTTAGTCATTAGTTTATTCTTAGCTAAGAATAAGTAAACATGCACATAGAGAAATTATCTGCCCACCTTCTCCTTTTCATGGAACATTCATGAATTCATGACAAAACTGTTTAGATATATGTGGCAAATTGTTCATAATGAATTATGCACCCTGTATCTCCCTGTCCATCTCTTTTCAGCTCTGATGTAGTTTCCTTTGTGAGGAACCAACCCCCAGTGTAGCAAATTTAGCTCCCGTAATTCTTTGAACTTCCATAATTCTTTATTCATTCTTTAAGGTTTTACTTCTTACATTTTATTATTATTAATAATAAGTGATAGGTGAACACAGAATACGATATGCATATGATGTGTTATTGTACACTTGAAACTCATATAACATTATTAACCAGTGTTACCCCAATAAATTTAATAAAAACAATAATGATAATGTGACTAATTTCTCTAGTAGACTATGACCTAAAGGGCAAGGATTATGTAATTACTTGTTCATTTTTCATTCCCAAGATAAAGTAAATGTGCAATAAATATTTGTTGAAATAAAAAAATATAAGCAATACCTACACTGTCTTTTTCCTACTTGCTGCAATTTATAATTTTACAAATATCATTTTCAAATACTGGTTTTAAGTATTATGTACCTTAGAATGAGGAAAGAATTTTTGATGGCATAACTCTGAGCTACTTTTGTTTGGGTCTAATGAAATTAGTACATATTAAAGTAATACAATGTTATCTTATTTTTCTACTATTATTATTTACATCTAGCAGAGGCATACTATTAATTTCTTTTAACATTTGGTCCTTCAGGGGGATGATCTCATTAAGTGGAGGCAAGCTGGGGAGAGATGGATGATCTGATAAACATGGGTGGTTTTTTTTGCAGGGTTATAAACATTTTGAAGGTGTGCAGGTATCTGTGTGTTTTAAAATGAACTCAACCTTTGATCATGGTACCTCACATTTTAAGCAAAGATATTGCACATATTTTTCTTCTGTTACATTTTTTTAACTGGTCAGTATTAATGATTATGAGAATAGCTACCATTTATTCAGGCCCTATACCAGGCCATGTATTAAAAACATTACACACATCTAATAAACAGTAACTCTACAAGGAGGTAGTAATGTCCCCATTTTATAGGTAAGTACATTAAGCATTAGAGTTATTACATTCTTATCCTAGATCACAAAAACAGATGGATTGGAGCTTAACTCCAGAATTAGTTCAGTATTCCAAAAGCCATGTTCTTTTTCCTATACCATTGGACCTCTTTTCTCAATCATTACCAGTTTTACATATTGCAGTGGCTAATATGGAATAGCTGTTTGATGAAAAAAGAAACACATACACGCATTTATATTTATCAGTGTTGTCCATATCAGTTGTGTTCATGGCATAGGATCAACTGATAGAGCCGAAAATAATAGAGTTAGAGTTAGTATTAGTTAATAGATGTAGAGTTAGTATTACCAAAACAATAGCATCTTGTGATGTTACATTGGAAAATGTCTCATAAGTGGAAATTTTCATAAGTTTAGATATAAAGGCATAGGAAATATACTTTCAATAAATACTTAGTAGAATATGCATACAAAGGGGGTAATTTGTTATCTGGATTGGGTCTTAAATAACAAGTACAAATTAGCTAAATGAGGAGTAGTTTGGAATGGACATTCTAGGCAGAGGGGACAACGTAAACCAAGTGTTCGTAGGGAATGACTTGGGCCAGTATACCAGCAGTGACAGGATACCAGACTGGAAAAGTGGAAAACTTAACAAGTTTGTATTTAATAACTCTACATAATAGGAAACCATTGAAAGATTGTAGGTAGGTGAGTCACAGGGGCTAATTTGATAGTTTTTCATTTTAAAAAGGTCACTAGGTTTCGAGACTGGGCAGAACGACATAGATGATAGTGGCTTTGTTCATCTGCTCTTGTGGCCAAATCAAAGTTGTGATGGAGCAAACAGCAAGCAGAGTCTCATGGGGTCTGGATGAACAGAAGTTCTACAACTAGAGAGAAAAATAAGAAATCATGCTGCAGTGGTGGAAGGTAGAAGGGGGTGAAGACTCAAGGCTGCCTAGTTCCCAGCGGCTGAATGGGACAGAGGCTGTGGCAGCTGCAGACACCTCTTAAAGGGGTCATGTCTGCAACTGGACTTTCACAGTGATGGACTTGCTCACTCTGAGCACTAGCATCAGGCCAGCTGCTTTGGGGGTGGGAGTGGGGTGGGGGGGCACCAGAGACTTAAAGGGGGAATGCTGAGTTGTTGGAGCGAGAGCCAGAGGAGATGCTTTCTCCTGGTAGAAGTGCCAGGAGTATCCGTTGTTCCTATGTTGAGCCCAACCCCCACCCAGTGTGCAGACACAATGCCATAACTGAGATGTCATGGAACTGGATAACAGAGGTCGCTCTGCCCAGGGGATTCCCTGAAACTCTGCCTCTCCCAACTTGCGACCACACCCAAGCCACATTCAGTTGTGTCTTTGGTGAGTTGTGTACAACTTGCTGAGCAGCTCCAAGACCCACCCTGGTGGCAGCTAACCTCGATTTCTGGTATGGCTTCTTGAGGCAACTATAAGCACAGCATCTGTGGATTGCTTGCTGAATCTTAACAGGTGGCCCCAGAGGGGCACAGGCTTGGGCTAAACTTGGCCTGCAGCTGAACGAACCCCTCTCAGGACTGTGCCACTGGACACCTACTACACAAAACCATGCTAATAAGACCGGGAGACTTAGGAGTTTTGCTTAGTACATAGCAGCAGACACAGAAAGGCAGCAAAAATGAGAAGACAAAGAGGCAGAAACCATGTGGGAGAACAGAATAGAGGTCCAAGAATAATGGAGTCAAGCGATCTAACAGATGCAGAGTTCAAAACACTGTTTATAAAGATGCCGAAAGAAATTAAGGGAAGAGTAGTTGAACTCACTGAGAACTTTAACGAAGAGATAAAAACATAAAAAATGGAAATGGAAATTATAAAAGGGAACCAGTCAGAAATGAAGAATACATTATTTGAGATGAAGAGTGTATTAGAGGGAATCAACAGAGTGGATGAAGAAGAGGATCAAACCACTGATATAGAGGATGAGGAAGCCAAGGACACTCAATCAGAATGGCAAGAAAAAGGAAGCCAAGACTATAACAATAATTTAAAAGCCTATGGGACATAATTAAATGTAAAAATATCCATGTCATAGGGGTACCTGAAAAAGAAGAGGGAGAACAAGAGGTTGGAAAGCTATTTGAAGAAACAATGATGGAAAACTTCCCTGACCTGGTGAAGGAAATAGATATAAAACCCAGGAAGCTCAGAGAGTCCCAAGAAAGAGGAAATCCAAAGATGCCCATACAAGACACATCATAATTAAAATGCTAAAGGTTAAATACAAAGAGAATATTAAAAGCAGCAGGAGAAAAGCAGTTAGTTACCTACAAGGGAGCACCCATGAGACTGGCTGCTGATTTCTCAAAGGAAACTTTGCAGGACAGAAGGACTTGACACAAAATATTCAAAGTGATGAAAACCCAGGATCTACAACCAGGAATATTCTTTCCAGCAAACCTATCATTTAGAGTCAAAGATGGGTAAAGAGCTCCCCAGATAAAAATAAGCTAAAGAAATTCATTAATATCAAGCCAGTATTACAGGAATTGTTGGAGGGACTTCTTTAAGAAGAAAAAACATGAAATGAAATGGTAATAACTACATTCCTATCCACAAGTACCTCAAATGGAAAACAATTAAGTACTCTAACCAAAAGATAGAGTGGCTGAATGGATAAGAATGTATGCTGCCTACAAGAGACTCACTTCAGTTTAAAAGACACACACAGACTAAAAGGAAGCGATGGAAAAAGATATTGCCTTGATGGACCTGGAGGGTATTGCGCTGAATGAAGTCAGTTAGAGAAAGACAAATACCACATGATTTCACGTACATATGGAATCTAAAGAACAAAATAACAACAACAAAAATGAAAACAAACTCATAGATACAGAGAATATTTTGAGGGCTACTTGATGGGGGAGATTGTGGAGGACAGTGAAAAAGGGCAAAGGGATTAAGAAATACAAATGTTTAGTTACAAAATAGTCATGGAGATATAAGGTATAGCATAAGGAAAATAGTCAACAATGTTGTAATAAATATGTAAGGGGAAGAGGAGTACTAGATTTAGTGTGGTGATCACTTGATATCTAATCTGTATGCTGTACAGCAGAAACTAATATTGTGTACCAACTATAATTAAAAAAAACATATTGAATTGTACAATGTAAATATGAACAACTAATTATCTGTTTTATTTCCAAAAAGCTGGGGGAAAAAAAAGGTCACTAGATTTCCATAAATCATAAGGTGAATTAGAGGGGACAAGACTTGAGCAGAGAGACCAGGTTGGATGCTGCTTCAGTACTGCAGGCCCGAGGGGATGAGGATCATAACTAGACCAAGAGGTAGGGGAAGGGAGTGTAAGAGACGTAAGTGGGAAACACTAATCATGTTTGGATTAGTCATGGATTGACTAATACCATGGGAGTGGTATAGGATGAAGGAATGGCCCAGGAAACCTCCCAGTTTCTAGCTTGGATGACTAAGACTTAGAACTCAGGCAGAGAAGCAGCTTTGTAGATGGTGGTGCAGGGAGAATAAGTTCACTTTTGAATGTGTTGATTTGAGCCATCTGTGAAATGTGAATTCCTTGATACTTAGGTATGAAGACAAGGAATGGTCTGGGTTGTAAATAGAGCTTTGGGAATCATCATCCTTGTGGTAATTAAGGCCATGAGAGTGGCTGAGGTTATCTAGAACAGTCTATAGAGTAAGAAGAGCTGTGAGTTATAAGTATCATGAGAGTTAGAATAGTCTCTTCGTTTTACAGATGAGGAAATTAAGGTCTAACATGGAGATTTGGGGGTTTGCCTCTATAGCTAAGTGAGAGAAAATGGGACTTGAAACTAGGTCTTCTAACTCCAAGTTAGTGTTCTTTTTAACATATTGGTCTCAAAATAAAACCACTAATTTAGAGGAAACTTGGGGACAATTTGCCTTGGAATGCCCCAGAAGAATAATCCAATAATTGCTATAATTTTTCTTTTTTTCTGAATTCTGGAGAAGCATATTTATCCATTATTTTCATCTACATGTTTATATTATCCTAGGATGTGAATTACTGTAAGTGTTAGATCATAAAATACTCTGATTCTAAGTCCATAGAGGGTTAATGTAAAGCTCTACCAATCTCTAACTTGTAGACTGTTTGGAATGATTAACAGGTAAAGTATGTTAACCTATGCCCATTAAAAGAGAAGCATAGGAATTTTGGGGCACATAACCAGACTGAGTGTAGGGATGTTCTCACAGTCCAAAACAAACTTGGCATCACTAGTACCTTGCTTTAACTATTTGTCTAACCATAGAGAATAATAACAGATTCTATAATGTTAGGGCATTAGTGTTCTCTATGCAATAAGTTTTATTTATAGCTTATTAACTGTTGTTAACTCATGCAGTCATTTTTTAAAATTTTTGTTTTTCTTAGAAACTGGCATACACAAAGGAAACTGTAAGCAGGTGAGTGTCTATTTTCCCTTAAATTCATGTTTGGTAAGAGAGATGTATCATACCTACTACAAGGCTCACCCCAAATTAAATGGTCCCTCTCTAATTTCTTGCCAGTTCCTGCAATGACCAGACCTGTGGGTTAGTCTCAAATTCTTTTTTTCATCATGAGGCCACTCCCTTTCCAGATCCCCACCACTGCCACTGTGCTTGTTTACTGTCTGACCTTACTGGGAGGCAGACTTGTGCCTCTCTCTTGGGGAGAAAACAGATTTCTGAAGATGGAATATAAAATGATCTACTGTAGTTGAGGCTTATAGCTAATGATAAAATTGCTCAGAAATGGTACACCTTAGTGTAGGATAGTTCATTAAATGATAGTTGGTGGTGTGCATCACTTTACTGAGGAATGATGATGATGATCTTGAAGTATAGGAGTAGCACAACCTTGATGAACCTCCAGTGTTATGAGCCTTGACTTCATTGGCCTTTAGGCTTAGGGTTAAGGTCATTTCTGGCTCCTGAGAAGTAGCAGGGCAAATCAGATCATGAAAGGTGAGGGATTTTGAACCTACAGGGGCTAAAGATTTCTAATTCTATCCATATTCAGAATATCTAGATTATGCCAGCAAATGGGTGATTTTTTAGAAACATACTACTAGGGCATGCAATCCAGGTTAGAACCCAGAAGTTTGCCTCAGATTAGAGGGAAGGATAGATCAAAAAACCATGTAGGTAGGTCAGTGTCCAGAGATTCACTCTGGGTTGCAGAGTCCAGGCAATAGTTGGGGTATACATGTGGGTGGTAGTGTGGTATGTGTATGTTTCAAATCAAACATGAGTAAACGGAGAGAAGTAGGACTCTTTGTGGTCTCACTTATCCACATAGCCTATGTTACCACTGAGTCTATGCTGGGGTCTGGGACTGAGCACCTACTTAGATATGAGACCATGTGGTTTCTTGAGTGTGGGCTCTTCGCCACTGAGAGGCAGAGCTTGGAGTTTCCTCATGATTGCCATTGCAGTCAGAGGTGGTGGACTAAATATTCTGGTGAGTCCTACCAGTGCCAGTAATCTTCATGGTAGCACATTTTACACATCTTATGTGATTAAGAAATACATCAGTACTAAATAAATATGGTGCTGAACTCAGAAGAAGCCCTGAAGTTTGCTTGTGGAAATGGACATTGTAAAAATTGTAGCTTGTGAGTTTTTCTAAAGTGATGGAAGGAGGGTTATCTGAAATAGGACTGGAAGTTGTTAGCACCATAGGAGGATGTGTGTGGCTCATAACACCTGAGGTGAACTGAGGTAGCGGGAAGGTGCTTGGGGTATAGTGCACATGTGTGTTTTGTGTATTCCTGTGTGACTTACTTTAACTGGATACCGTTTTCTGCATTCCTCAGTGTTTCTTGTGGTGAAGTTGTGTATATATGAAGGAGAAATTTGCATTATGCTCATTTGTTTTCTAATATATTAATCACATTGGAATACATTGACAAATAAGCGTCATTGCAGAACTGAGTATTATACTTTTATTGATAAGGCACTATCTGTATAAGGTAGAGGAGAGGACTCAAAATATTGTTCACTATCCTTAGAAAATAAGGCATATATAAAATTAACAATACATATGAACTAAAATATAACTGAATTTTATCATAAAAAGGGATACTCTTCAACAGTAAAAATATATACTGATATATACAAGGTGTATGACTGATAATGGACTAACAACACAGTGACCCTCAAAAGCATTATGCTAAGTGAAAGACACCAGTTACAAAAGGCTATACGTCATATGATATATATAAATATATATATTTAAATATATATATTTATGTAAATATATATATTTATAAAACTGCATTTTGAGAATTTTAAGTTAGTATCCATCCCATGAATCTAGAGCAGATCAGGTTGGGGTTGGATAAAAACTCTCAACTGTGGTAGTTGCTGAAATTGGGTTACCTGGAGTCAGGTAACACTGGGAGGGAACCCATAGGAATGGTGTAAGAATTACTTTAACTTGAATACCACAGTGAACTCTTAAAACCCTTAATTTGCCTATTATTTTTCTGATTTTTTTATGATTCAGATTTATTTTTATGATTTAGATTTATTTTTATGATTTTTTGAGATTATTCTCATATTCTCTTTGTTAAAAGACTTGTGTTAGTTTTCTATTGCTAATGTAACAAATTACCACAAATTTTGATAGCATAAAATGACGCAAATTTATCTGATTATACCATAGTACAAAAGTCTGAAATGGGGCTCAAGGTGTCGGCAGGCCTGCATTCCTTTCCGGAGCCTCTAGAGGAAAATCTCTTTTCTTGCCTTTTCCAGCTTCTAGAGGTCGACCTCACTAGTTAGCTCTGACTCCCTTCCATCTTCAAAGCCAGTGATGGCTTGTCGAGGCTTCCTCACCTTCCATCCCTCTGATAGTCTTCTACCTTTCTCTTCACCTGGCTAACCAGGATTTGCTACCTACTTTAAGGTCAGTTGATTAGCAACCTTAATTCCCCATGTGAATAACATATTCACAAGCTCTAGGGATTAGGATGTGGAGGCCACTATGCTGTCTACCACAATTCTTTCCTATAATTTAAATTGCTGCTTTTATGTGAACTCTAACCGATGTGTTGATATATGGCTTGCACCAAATGTTCTGCTATGTGCTGTTTTAAGCGTCCCTTATTGTCATCTGCCAAGTCTCTTTAAAAGATAGCATTTTCCACCTTACTCAGGACCTCACATCCCTTCCTACCCCTTAGAAATCTCTGCCTGTCATTGTTTCTCTCTTCTGAGTCTTCAACTTGTCCCATTACTAACTTGTTCCCATTAGCAGTTAAGCATGCTGGTTTCTCCCATATTACCTATTTTACAAAAAGCCCTTCTCCAGCACTTGTCTCCATTGCAGCCGTACATCTTGAAAGCATCTCCAATTAGCTCCAGTAACTGCTTAAAACCCTGCTATCTGGTCTTACTATTGTATCCTCAATAACCAATACAAGTCTTGGCTTTGCATATGTGCTTACCAAATATTTAAGTGAATAACTGAATTTCTGCTCAATCATCCAAGTCTATAACCAGGACTCTGGTGATAGTCTTAGTGTAAAGACTGTTCTTTGGGATTTTTTTGATACGTCAGTTAACTTACATTTATAGTTGAGGATACTTATCATAGAACACAAAGCCAAATATACATTTTTTTTTAAGCAAATGTTTTATTCTTTGTAGGATGACACATATGCCACTGCTTCATTAATCTGTGCTTTCTCTTGTATTTATTTAACATTTAATACTTTTCATAATGCTTCTGCACATAATATTTTATTTAATTTTCATCAATACTTTTGTGAAATAGGGTGGGGAGGTGTTCCTGTTTTGGTGATTAAGTTCTTGAGGCCCAGAGTAACTGAAGTATTTTCCCAAGTCACATAAAAAGTTAATGATACATCTGGGACTAGCACCCAAGATTCCTGGTCCATGCCTTGAGTTCTTTTGTTGTCATGTGCTGATTACAGTTAACAGATTCAAGAGCAAAGCAAAGTATAAAATATTGTCAAGGGAAGTAGTAATCCTTCTTAGTAGATAGGAAATTATGCTTGCCTTCTTTTACTGTATTTTAAAACTTATGTTTTATGTGGCTATAATATTTTTTGACACAATCCCCCCTGAATTCCACTGACATGATTAGGCAGCATCTATGAGGAATAAATAATGCGCTAGATGAGTTGAGAAAATGAGACCATAAGGGGTCGTTTGCTGCTGGTATTTAGCTAAAGGTCATAGCTGAACAACTTCAGATTTGTGGTTTGGCTTGGAAATGAAGTGGCATTTCTGTTTCCAAATTCAACACGACTCTGTGTTCTAGTTTTGTCTGAGTGGCAGTCTAGTTTGGTCTGAGTGACAGTTTAGGGGATCTCTGCAGGAGGCCTACCTAATGAGAACATATGAAAGGATTCTTGTTGTTAAGTATTCTTAACTGTCTTTTGAAAGGAGAGTGGGAAGATGAGGAATTAAGTGTTGGAGTGTTAGGCAAGTGATTTGAATTACTGAGAGTTGCCTACTCACCATTATTAAAAAAATGTTATTTCGAATTCAGTAAGTGAAATCTAGTTTTATTGAAGTAAGCAAACTTCATTCTGATTGCTTACTTAGAAAATTAGCTTAAGTTTGATTTTGATGTGGGGGACAGTTTGACCAACTCCAGGTGAGGTCTGATCTCTCTGTTGTCATCTCAACTTCCTCTTCTATTTACTATGTTGTGCTTTGGCCACTTTGTCTTACTTTGTCTACTTTGCTCTTCATACCTGTTGCACTCCATAGCTCTCCAACTGTGGCTGGGTTTCCCATCCTCTTTCTGGGACCTTACACATTTTGACTTTTAGGTGGTTTAATTTGTGTAGGCCACTATTGTTAAGATAAGCTGAAGCCATCTTACCCTTCTGATAATATGGATCACATAAAGGCCATGTTGTAAGGAATTATTGTGTGACCCTAGGAAAATGGCTTTATCCACTTGGGCCTCATTTTTTCATTTATTAAGCAAGGTTGTTGGGAAGAGGTTCTGCCTTGTGAGCAATTGATAGACCCTGTTCAGGCCTGATGATGTTAACATCTGTTTCAGATGCCTCTGAATCCCATTTAAAAAAAATCTGCACCTCCTGCAACCCAAGAAGCCTCTTGATGCTTCTTCATCACCCAGGTCTTCCTCCGTATCACACATTATAGTGACTTATGCAGAAGTCATATTCCTTTAGGTTCTTCTAGAGTTCAGCATCCTCAACCTTTTGGGCACCAGGGACCAGTGCTTCTGTGAGAATCTAATGCCTGATGATCTGAGGTAGAGCTGAGGCTGTGATGCTAGTGCTGGGAAAAGGCTGCAACTACAGATGAAGCTTTGCTCACTCACCTGCCACTCACCTCCTGCTGTGAGGCCCGGTTCCTAACAGGCCATAGACTGGTAACTGGTCCACAGCCCAGGGATTGTGGATCCCTGTTCTAGATGACAGCTCACTTAATAAGCAATTTCCTATAAATGCAATATAAATAACCAGTAGTGGTTTGTTGTAATGGTTTAATGTGTTATTCTTTCTAGATAGTATTTTTAAAAACCAGAAGAATCTTTATGGTAAGATTATTTTTTAAACCTGTGTTTCTCAAATTTTTTACCAAAGCCTTGGGGTTCAGGGAAAATAGCCCTAGTTGACTCCCCCACCCAGTTCCAGGCATAAAATGTCTTTGAATTATCATATTTTATCTTAATATTCATTTAAACTTTATAATCTATCCATAATATAGCCACATTTTTAAAAAACATTAAAATTGATGCTCAAGATGTGTGCCATGTTTACTCGTGGCTTGAGTACCACCCTGTCCCACCCAATGACCTAATTTAGAGCAGAAGGGCAATCTAAAGGAGTGGTTCTAAAGATGGGACTTACCTGGCACATTGGTAGGTCTGTGAGGGAGACATTTTTGACTGTGAATGAATCACTTTAGGAAGGTGACCTGTGTAAAGTTGAAAAGAGTTTTCAATTGCTATGAGTTGAAAATTGGTGTAATCACTGTCCAGCTCCTTTGTAAAAGGGTAATGAAACAGCCCCTTCTCCTTAGGACATGTATATAAACTTTAAAGTTCTAAAACTTCCCCAAATTACTATAATTTAAAATGTATGTTTTTAGAGTATATGGAAATTTGGACTCGCGGAAACCCACTTTCCTTCCTTCAGAGCAGGGGCTTTCTCAGAGTGCTTTCTGATCTCTGCTTGCAGTTGCAGGGTGGCATGGTTAAAGGATAGCTGGGCAACCCGAAGCCTACAAGTGTTACTGGAGCATCTAAGTCAATGAGATATGTACAGGTTTTGCACCAAAGAAAGTAAAGATTTATTTTAGAGAGTTACAAGTCCCAGAGACACAGACAGCTATTACTCTCAAAAACCTGGCTCCCCAGGTATCTTGATGGGATAGATTATATAGGGAAAAATCCTTAGTCATGGAAACTGAGGGAGTTGGTGTCATGGGCGCTACTGACTGGATGGGGCTGGGGTAATTAGTCATCATATAAGGTTTTGGAATCAGCTATGATGTCATCCTGCCTGGTCCCCTGGTCAGTAGGGCTGTTCCACCTCGATGGGCCTGGGGCTGAAACACACCCAAAGCCAAGATATTATCCTTAGTTTAATGAAAACTTATTGTCCTCATGATCCATAGACCTGGGGCTTTATTCTTAAAAGACTTAACACTGTCCAGAACCTTATGTCCTAAGGCTTAGTGATTAAGGGTGTAGGAATGCAAAGGTGGAAGGATAAGGGCAGAAAAAGCAAGTGAATCACAATGCCATTATTCTAGGCAAAGCCTGTTTGAATCAGAGCAAAAGCTATCTTAAAGAAATGAAGTATGCACACAGTTACACTAGTAGTCTGACCCATTCTCTAGGCTTGATTTTTCTTATGTAAAACACTTTCCTGATTTCTATGATTTCTCAGATGAGATGACGTCTGTGCTTATATGTTCCCCTTAGCAGCCAGCATTTTTCAATCTGTAGTACTTATTGCATTTGTAATTCTTTTTTCTATAAGTATTTAACTTTCATAGACCAGGGGTGTTTTCTTCACAACTATATGCCATGTCTTTTATACTGCTTTGCCAATAGTATTTACTTATTCACTCCAAAAATATCTATTTAATGCCTACTAAATAGCAGGTACTAAATAGCAGGTACTATTTAGACTGGAGATACAGCAAGAATATGGCAGGCAAAGTCCCTAATTTCATGGTTTAGATTTTAAGGCAGTCCTATTCAATAGAACTTTCTAATGATGGAAGTGTTCCTTACTGTGCTGTTTAACATGGTAGTCATCAGTCACAAGTGACAGTAGAGCACTTTGACTATTTCCTGCCAATCTCTCTGGCCTGTAAAGTTTCTGTTGAGAAATCAACTGACAGTATTATGGGAGCTCCCTTGTAGTTAGCTAATTGCTTTTCTCCTGCAGCTTTTAAGATTCTCTCTTTGTATTTAACCTTTGGCATTTTAATTATGATGTGTCTTGGTGTGGGCCTCTTTGGATTGATCTTTTTTGGAACTCTGAACTTCCTGGGGTTGTATGTCTATTTCCTTTACTAGATTAGGGAAGTTTTCTGTCATTATTTCTTTAAACAGGTTTTCAACTCCTGGCTCTCTCTCTCTCCTCTTTCTGGTACCCTCTATGATGCAAATGTTGTTATACTTGATGTTGACCCAGAGGCTTCTTAAACTACCTTCATTTATCTTTTTGTTAAAGTTTTCACTGAGTTCATCTACTCTTCCCCTAAGTTACTTGAACATCTTTAAAACCAGTGTTTTGAACTCTGCATCTGGTACATTGCTTGTCTCCATTTTGATGAATTTTTTTTCTGGAGCTTTGTTCTTTTCTTTCATGTGGGACATGCTTCTTTGTCTCCCCATTTTTCCTGCCTCCTTATGTCTGTTTCTATATATTAGGTAGATTTCCTAAGTCTCCCAGTCTTTGTAGAGTGGCTTTATGTAGTAGGTGTGCTGTGGGACCCCTCTTGGGAGGGTTTCAGCTGCAGGCTAAGTTCAACTGCAGACTGGGTACCTCCAGGGCCACCTGGTAAGAGTCACCAAGCAATTCACATATGACTGTCTCCCATGCTGGGGTTATAGGTGCTTCAAGGGGCCAAGTCAGAAACCGAGGCTGGCTTCCACAGGTTGATGGTGACTCTGAGGCAGAGTCTCCAGGAATCCCCTGAGTGGAGCAACCTGTGTTATCCAGGTTGATGGTGACTCTGATATGGCGGCTCCTGTGTCTGCAGGCTGGGAGCTGGGAGGGCTCAACAAAGGAGCAATGGCTTCTGTCTGCACCTCTCTCTGGGAGAAAGCCGCTCCTCCAGCCCTCTTCCTAAAGTTTGGCAACTCAGTGCCTCCCCGTATGTCCCTGGCGCCTCTGGAGCTGCTGCCCCAGCTCTGGAGCTCAGAGTGAGCAAGTCCGTCAGTGAGTGAGGCCAGGCGTGGGCCCTTTAAGAGGAAGGTTTCCAATTTCTGTAGGCCCTCTATCTCAGCCACAACCACTGCTGGTTTTCACAGCCAGAAGTTGTAGGGACTTCTCTTCCCAGCATCGGAATCCTAGTCTGGGGACCCCTTGTTCCTCAGGTCGGGGAGTGGGCTCTGCAGACAAGATATCTCTCCTGATTCTTGATTGCCACATGCGATTGTGGTACCAAGTCACTTCGCGCCTCTACCCCTCCTACTGTTTTGAGATTACCTGTTAGTTTTTGTCCCTAGTTGTAGGGCTTCTGTTCAGCCACACCTCAGGTGACTCTGCATGCTGGTTGCTCTGTAGTTTTGTTAGAATTTTGGTGTGGTCGCTAGAGGAGGCGTGCATGGCCTCTACCTTCTACATCATCTTGTCATCTTCCTAGTGAAGTCCTTTTTGGAAAAACAAAACAAAAACTAATAAACCTTCACATTTTATTAACTCTATCATTTTATTAACTCTAAACACTTTTTTTCCTAGCCCTGAATTGTCATCTCCAGTTCCTGTTGGTGATACCTCAACATTGGGAGGTATGCTTTGTGCCTTTAATCACTTTTCTTTTTAAATTATTTATAGTTTAACACACTCTTGCAAGCAAACACATTTTTAAGCTCACATTTAAAAATTGTGTTTCTCTCTCTTTATATGTTGTTCTCAAGAAAAAGTAATTCTTCACTAATTTTATGGCATTATGTTGTGGTTACTTAAAAATCTTTAATTAGTGAGTATGATACAAATCGGAAAACTACATAAAACAGATGTATGACCTGAAGGATTATTTTAAAGCAAACTCTCTGTAACTACTGCTTATGTTAACAAGTGGAAACTTTTTTAGCTCCACCATTTTTCATTTGTCTTGCATGGTTTCCCAGAGTAAGGATTTTTCTGATTGCATTCTGTGGTGTACTTTAACATGTTTCTTTGACCTCCATATTTCTTGTAAATTGGTAGTTGCTTTCTTTATTTTTAGTTTATTTAAAAAGCTTCTCTTTATTGGAAATTTTAAACATTTACAAAAATTAAAGTAGTACAATGAATCCCAGCTTGAACAATTATTAATTTATGGGCAGTCTCTAACCTTCACGCACTTCCCCTTTCTGGTAATGTTACTTCTTTTAGTATTTCTCCCCTTTATTAGATAGCTTCTTAAGGATAGGAACTTTGTATCTCTAGCATCTTGCATAGAGACTGACATATAGTAGATGCTCAGTAAATGCTCATTAAATGAATAAATGAGTCATAACTATTTCTTGTCCTGAGAAGACTCTATGCAAATGTGTTTTGAGGTTAGAATGCATAGCATTTCCAGAATGAAAAAGCAAATGACTTATAAGAATGTTTTTGAAGTTGGTTTCTTGTTTTCTGGTATGAATTCTGACTTAGGGACTAAATTCACATACATGTTTTTCTTTTTCTACCTAGGTGTTGTTCTCAGTGTTCCATATCTAGAGGTCACCTCCTACGAAGGTACCTTAGAGAGCAGCTTGGAGAGGCCGGAGGAGAGCGTGAGTGATTCTCTGTTTTGTTATTTAGTTTCTAACACAGGGATTGAGAGAGATTTATATTTCATTGCTAGACTACATAAGACTTCCTAAATTTCTTTTTATGGAAATGTTATGGATACTAAAACTGGAACATTAAAAAGAATTTGAGATTCCTTAGATAACCGAGTAAAACTGCTATTGGCAAGAGAGGGCTTCAAATTGTAAGCAAAATGACTCAGAGACTGGGGAACTGTCATTATAGTAAGCTCACTGTCTCCTGTGGGCTATGTGACATAATTCACTGTGGAGATTTTTGCCTGTGTGCTATCCTTGAACTGATTAGGAATTAGCCTTCTCTTCTTCAGACAGAAGGATATAGATTTTTTTAAATTTATTTTTTTATTTAAATATAGTTAGTATACAATTTTATATTTGTTATATTAGATTCAGTTGTACAATATAACATTTTTATACCTTACAATGTGATCACTCTACTAAATTTAGTAATCCTCTGTCACTATGTAAACTTATCACAATATTATTGACTATAATTCCCTCCCCTTTTCACCCATCCTACACCCCTTCCCTTCTCATAACCACCCCTTAGGTCTCTGTTTCTATGAGCCTGTTTTGTTTGTTTTTTCTTTTGTTTTGTTTTTAGATTCTACATGTAAGTGAAACTATATGGTATTTGTCGTTCTCTGCCTGATTTATTTCACTTAACATACATCTTTAGATATGTCTATGTTGTTGCAAATGGCAAGATTTAGTTTTTTTTTATTGCTGCATAATATTCTATTGTGTGTGTGTGTGTGTGTGTGTGTGTGTGTGTGTATCATATCTTCTTTATCCATTCATCTATTGATGGACACCTACATTGCTTCCATATCTTGGCTATTGTAAATAATACTACAATGAACATAGAGGTGCATATATCTGTAGCAGTAAGGTTACTAAGCATATTTCTTTTAAAATAATACTGGAAATGGAAGTTTTGTCCAAAGGTACTGAGGTAAAATTTAATATAGAAAAATGCAAAGCTTGTACAAAATTTTACTAAAGACTAAGAGTTTTTGTTGATGTCAGTTCCAGTATGAGTCAGCAGTATAATACAATTACTGGTGGGGAAAACATTTAGTTAAAGCTCATGTAATTTTGGGTTGCTTTAATACAAACATATACTCTACCATAAGGGAGGTGGTAGTCCTACAGTATTTTAGTTGATCAAACCTCACTTGTTTGTATTACACTCTAAGGAACATATTAAGAGCCTGAGAAGTATCTGGAGGAGAAGAACTAGTGAAAAGTCAGGGAAGATATAGTAACTGCCTGTATTTATTTGAAGAGTTCTCTGGTGACTACAGGTTTTATAGGTATCCCAGTTTACAGAATTGGGATCAATGGTAACCCTTATAGGTAAATATATATGAGTTTAATATTAAAAACTTTCCAACCATGAGAGCCTTTTTGGAAATGTAATGGTCTCCTTTTGAAAGTCATTACTCTTTCTCATTAGAGCCATTTAAATTGAGGACAAGTAGCCATTTGTCAGGGATAGTGTAGAGAGAATTCAAGCATTAGAAGTGATGGTGCACTTTTTGAGGTTCTTTCTTATTCTGAAGTTTAAGGTTGCTATAATATGATCCATTAGGGATGAAAAATGAAACGATGAAAGAAGTCCTTGTATTTTCTTCCTGACTGTGCCACTGGGTTGCTATGAGCCCTTAGACCAGCCATTCTTCCATTCCAATCCTTGGTTTTCTTATGTACCAAAATGGAGGGACTTGGATTAGATGAACTCAAATGCATCTTGCATGCAACAATTATTACTGTATGTTACAGTAGGGATATTCTATTTCCCCTATTCCTTCAATATTTATTAATTGGAATTCTTCAATAAGAAACTATTGTTACTTTTCTCACATTTATATATTAAATTATATTAGTACCCATGCATGAATACCTATTTTATTCTTTGGATTATAATTCCAACTTTGGCTACTGGGAAAACTGGATTTAAATATTGCAGAGTACAAAAAAATTGCTGCTGATGTGGTTTCAGATTCCACATAGCAACTAACCGTTAAGAAACTACCACTTGTTGAACTTAGTGTAGTATCTAAAAAGAATATTCACACTTATCTGAAAAGGCTATTGATATATTCCTCCCTTCCCCAATACATATCTGTATGGCTGGATTTTCTTCACATACTTAAACTAAAACTATATACGGGAACTGATTGAATGCAGAAGGAGATTTGAGAATCCAACCAGACATTAAAGAATTTGTAAAAATATAAACAATGTTGAGAACCACCCTTCTAGGCTATTTTTAGATGATAATTTTAGCAGATTCAACTCTTTTAATTCACTTACTGATAGTCAACTTTGGTCATTATCTGTGGAAAATTTTCTGTCTTTCCCTGAACTGGTCATTGTTATGTTCAAAGGAGGGTAAACATGCACAGTAATTTTAATATTAACCTATGTTTTAGTCTACCTAATTCCAAAGTCAAATACTATAGAAAAAGTCATCAGCAGAAGTTGTCTTTGGTATAGTATCTGGCAAATAGTAGGTAATCAATATATATTTGCTGATCGAATGAGTAAATAGTGATATTTATTGTTTTTTCTTTAAAAATCCAGATTAGCAATGAAATTGAGAGTGTGATCGAAGAATCTACAGAACCAGCAGCTGAGCAGATTGCAGAATTTAGTATCCACCTTTTGGGGGAGCAATACAGGGAAGAACTACAGGATCCCTCCAGCTTCTACCACCAGCACTTTGTAGAAGTGTTCGTTTCAGAGGTGGGTGATTTTTGTCTGTTTGTTTGTTTTTATTCATTTTTTTTTATAAACAAGACAATTTTTTAGGGTTGTAAATTTTTCGTATTCACAGCACTGCTTAAAGGTAAGTTTAGGATTCAAGCTCTTTATCTGCTTGTTTTGGGGGTGGTGACAGCCATTTCTTCAGAAAGCTCTGTGAAAAGTACACAGAAATATAGATGAATTATCTCATTGCAACAAAATCTTGCATACATTTTGCCATCTACTAACAAATAAATGCAATTTCCAACTTTTGGTGTATAGCTAAGGAAAAATGTGTTCTATGGCATGGTTTTAACTTGACAATATTTGGAGAAATAAGTATTTTGAAAAACTACATACAATGTATTGTTTTCTTTAGGAAAAATTAAATTTAATTTCTTTTAATTTCATATTTAGTGTTATTGTTTTAAATGGAAAAATTTTGAGCAGTTAACACATAGCTAATACATGGTGCCAAGTCCAAAGGACAAAAGGACATCCAGTGACAAGTAAATTTCCCTTCTACTTCTGTTCCTTGGGTGGAGGTATTTTTAAAAAGGAGTTCTTTAAAGAATCATGCAATAGACCATCTATTTTTACTCCTTGAAAAATTCTATAGAGGACTTGAACTCAAGATTCTTTTAGTTGTAAATAATACATACTTGTCCCCCTTCTTGTGTAGTAAGTCATCGAGTGCCCATCTCCTCTCTCTGTCTAATTACAAGGCACATCATACCCTCCTGTTTATTTCTTTTCCATTCCCTCTTGATGGGGTTCTCCTTGGCCAAGTTTTTCAATTCTGTTACCTTGGACTAATTTCCTTCCCTAGACACTGTGTCTACATGAGAAATAAAGCATGCATCCCTCAGCCAAACAGCATCATTGCAGCCATCAGACATGGGGAGTGTAGGCCAGATGATTAATTTTCCTAGCTGTGTGGCCAAATTGTGAGGTTGTATGATACGTGGAAGAAATGTCAGCCAGGCCAGTGGCCACCTGGCATCAGAGAGTGTCTTGGATCAGCTGTCTGGTTCTCCTTGCCCTTGGATTAAGGAACCTTTAATAAGCCTCAGTGTTTGGGTAAACAATTGTACTGAATGACTACATATTTAGAAAAAAATCTAATAAATATTCTGAAAAACATTTTGAGCAGGGACTTTATGAGGTAGGTAGCTATTGGCTTAAGGCGACTTGAAGGTAATGAAGGATAATGAACATGAAGCAGTTCCTTCTCTGGCCTGTCTCTACATCCCTGTCTCTTTATCTGGAACAAAATGTCAACCAGTAACCATATGTGTGTAGCAGCAGAGTCTGGGGTTGTGTCTCTGAAAGGCCATGTTGCCATGTTTACTGCACACCGAAGAGGGCTCTCTTTTTGGACATAGTCACTGGGATTATTCCTTCTTAATATTCTTTCTTCAGTAATATTGGAAGACATACAGGGAAAAAGAAAGCTGTTTAGGGGATTGAGGATCAGGGGCTCTTTTTGTTTGTTTGTTTGTTTTAATGAGGAGAAGAGTAAGAGTAAGATAAGCTAGAGATACTACCAAGTATGATATCATAGAGGAAAAGGTCAGGCTTGGGAGCATCAGTAACCGAAGACAGCCACAGTATCAACACAGTGTCCTTATATAGTTCTTTCCGTTCTGCAGGCTGCTGTATGTCTGTTTGCTAACAGCAGCCATGTGGGTAAACATCCCCATTTTACACATGAGGCTCAGGAGGTCAAGTAACTTGTTCATGGTGATTTCAACCCCTCAAAATAAAAGACAAAATCAGATCTCTTTCTTCTTTTCGAAGTGTTCTTTCTTTTATATCATACAGAGTCCCCCTCATTTTAAGTCAGGTGAGAAGTTGCAGTGAGCTTCATTCACACTTTTCCCAAAAGTTGTGGTGAACTTCACAGTTTTCCCAGTCCTGGTCCCATTTCTACTCTTGATCATAGCCAAAAGGTCGAGAAGTGATGTGGCCCCATTTCTAAACTACATTTAATGGAAAGAGGAAGAGGCATATAATTCAATGGGAAGAATATGGGATTCAGTCTCAGAGAGATTTGGAGTTGAATAAATTATGATTCAGTCACTCACCAAATGCATGACTTTGGGCAAGTTAGTCGACATCTCAAGAGTCTCAGTTTTCTCATCTATAAAAATGGCAAAGTATGTATCTCTTGGGATTTTTGCAAAGATTAGAAATAATATTACCAAGCACCAGGCACATAACTGTCACTCAATAAATTATACCTATTATTATTCTTGATGTTAATTAAGTAGAATGACTTCTTACAACTGGATACATGTATAATAAGTAACTGGACGTGATGAATTAGAATACCTGTTTGTGTTTAGACCCAAGAGATGGCAAAGCCCCAAATGAGATGGGTTTACTAATAATAATAACATGGAATTATACAGTATTTTGCAGTTAATGGAGTACTTTCAGCTACCTTCGTTTTGATCTTACAAAAACTGATGTGGTGGGCAGGGCAGTATTAATTCTATAAAAGAAGACTTGTGCATGGCACTCAGCTGGCAAAAGCATCTGGGACTTAACCCTCAGTCCTGTGGATTCCATCCCCACCCCATCCTCTAAGAATTATAGCACTTCTTTCTTTTCCTCTCAGAAGATAAAATAAGGCAAGTTATTATAGCCAAGAACTTTCATGGATTTGGTTTCTTTATCTTTAAGGCAGGAAGATCTTCAGTGAACCAGAATTTTAAAGATATCTCACTCTCCTGATTATATGAGGACTTGGTTTTAAAAGCAGATGCCCAGAGATCCAGTAACAGAGTTCCTAAAGTCCACTAACGGTTTACTTCCCTTATTCTGATGTTGGTCCCATAGTTACTTATCTGGTGAGATTGCACTTTCTGAAATGTTATGGGTTAAATGTTCAGTTTTGTTAAACATTTGGTATTTGTACACAAACATCAGGTATTTGTGCATTGTCTGATTATTTTTAGATATTTAGCATTCTTTTCCCCCACTCTCGTCACTAAACTCTTATTGATTTCCATGGCTGGATTTTAAAGATGTGGTAATAAATCTAGTGCTGACAGATGTGATACTCATAAATTGATCTTCTGACCAGTTAAGTTACCTGGTCACTGCTTCATAATCTCCTTCGTGACAACCACTTGACAAGTCTGCTCTCTTGGAGGCTAAGCCCAGGCTTATAGATTTCTTTCTGTTGTTGACTGTGTTCACAGTTCCTTTGTATTGTAGGAACAGGAAACAGATACCACCAGACACTTTTAGGAAATGAACACCTATTTATCAATGTGTATGCTGCAGCCAGATTTCTAATCCAAACAATCACATTTAACAATGTTGTTATAGCTCCTTTGGAAACTAATGCTTTTTTTCATATTTTATCACATAATGGGGTAAAAAACAGTGATTTGTCAATAAGAAGTATGACTTTTATGATTTGAAAAAAAATTAATATTAAAAACCTTAAAAGATGAAATGAAAAAGAAAAATGTGTCTGTGTTGTGGTAAAAACTTTTTTAACATTGTAACTATTATAATTTTCATAGTGACTTTCTGATCCATATGTATCTTTGTATGTGTACAGGCTTCTATAGTTGTAAACAGTGTGCTTTATATTCTTCTCTTAAAAACGTTATTTTCTATATCCCTTTTCACATTTCTACATAGTTATAAATTTTATTTTTATTTTTAACAGGTTGGAAACGCATTTACTGGGTTACCGGGCTACAAGGACATCCGTGTACTTGACTTTAGGTAAATAGACTTACTCTGAAAATGTACTCTTTATTTCAATTGGAATATCCTTTTGTGTATTTTATATATACAACAATGATCAGAATGATTTGGATGCTGTAATTTAGTGCTATTTCTGGTAGGTTTGTATTCCCAATGCTAGTTTTTCAGGTGAGGAAACTGAATTAGAAAAAGGCTAAATAATGTATTCAAGGAGACATACTACATCTATAGTTGGGCCATGGTGAGAACTTAGGAATTCATGTCCCCAGCCTGTTGCTGACATGTTACACTGCTTTGATTTGACACTGAGGGGAGCCTGAAGTCAGATTAGATGTGACCTCAAGGTCCTACTAAAGCTTGTCAGTGTTCCACTGAGGTGACTTTGACGTCTTGGTGCGAGGCCACTCTGGAGAAGATGCATTCATCTTCATTTCAAACGTAATAGTTCTGAGTAAACCAGAGATCTTTTTTTAAGATGGTTCTTCCCTGCCTTAGACCTGCTGCATGACACTTGTGAACATTTTTTAAGTGACTACTTTGTATTAGGCATTTCACATTCCTAAACTCACATCACTCTCTCAGAATAAATATTATTAGTACTCATTTTACAGAGGAGCAAACAGGTTTAAAGGGATGAAGTTTTAGCCGAGAATCAGAGAGCTTGTAAATTAGCTTGTGAATTTGGAACAAAGTAGCTGACTTTATAGTTCTTGCTCTGAACCTCCATTAGACTCAGTCCTCTGAAGGTTTGATGTATTTGGATGATAGCTGTGGCTCAGTGGTTGGGTGCAAGAGAGTATGAATGGGGGCACTCTGTAATCTTACAGCATAATTAACAGTATCAGCATCTTAGCTTTGGCATATTCCTGTCACAAACTCTGGCCTTACCAGAATTAACAGCAAGCACTGTGTACCAGGCTTTATATGTATATTAACTCATTTAATATGCATATTAAATGAGATAGTTACTATTCTCCTCATTGTTTCTGATAAGGAAACCAGAGCACAGGAGTTTAAATAATTTACCTAAAGACACTCAGCTAGTTATTAGTACAGGGGAGAGGGCAAGCATCGTAAATTGACCCTCCACCTATTTTGACACCATGACCAGTCTCTCCAGTTCAGTCTTAGCACTTTTCACAGAATACTGCCTCCAGTTGTGGCTAAAGCTCATATGAGAACCTGAGAATGTGAGGCCTTTTGGATTTCTGTACTCTTATATATGTAAACCTCTCTCAATTGGCAGCACATGAAAGGCAACATGGCCTTTGGAGCCAACTTGCCTAGGTTAAAATCCTGTTTTTGGCACTCTGGCTGGATGATTTGGGATAAAGTACCAAGTCTTAACTTCTCATTTGTATAAAAAAGACAATTTATCCTGACTTACTAAAAAATACTTTTGGTAAATAATTTAGCCTTTTTGTTGCTCAGTTTCTTTACCTGTAATATAGGAATACTAACGATCCTTAATAAGTCTTAATGAGGATTGAATGAATTAATTTTTATAAAATGCTTAGCACAGTTTCTGGCACATGGAAAGTTCTATTAAGTGTCTGTCACATAAAATAAATAAACATTAAAGGCTATGCAATGCCCTATAGTTTTAAGGGGCTGACCTTCACCAGCCCCTTAAAACCTTAAAATCTGACTGTATACCACCTGATTTACTGTTCATTTATTTTAGTTTTAATTCTAAGTAACATATTGCATCTCTCAAAGAGTGTTCCCAGTTTTGTTAGTGCCAACTACTGGGTCCTCTGCTGATCTACTAAAAAGAGCGTGTTTATAAAGAGATAACCTTCTGGGAATTGTTTAAAAAGCATTTTACCAAAGTTTAAAGATATAATGACTATTTATTTTAAAGTAGAACATGTTCTCCAACCTTGCTTACTTCCTTCAAACTACAGGAATTTGTCAGCTTCTAATACTATGCAAACATTTTCATTTAAGGGAACATTTCAGAGGAAGTATATTGAGAACTTGCACTTTGATGAACAAGAACTGTCTTAAACACTACTTAACATTTTCAATTTTTATTTTCAGATCCCCCAAGGAAAATGGCAGGTAGAGTACTTTTTTGGCACTTTCTATACTGTTCAGTGAATGAGAAGGTAGTTTAGAAAATATGGTAGACTTAGGTCCAAGGGAGCATGGCTCAATTCTTTTATCACTTCTAATACCACTATCCATCACCTTACAGATCAGGGTTTGACAAACTATTTCTCTTAAGGGTCAGATAGTAAATATTTTAAACTTTTCAGGCCACATTATCTATTTTGCAGCAGTTCAACTCTGCCAGTATCAGATGAAAGTAGATATAGGCAATACAGTGAAAATGAATGTGTGTGGCTATTTTCCAATATATCTTAATTATATTCACTGAAACCTGAAATTTAATTTTTACATGTCACAAAAGATTGTTCTTCTTTTGATTTTTTTCATTCATTTAAAAATATAGAATCCATTAATTCAGGGACAGTGGGCTGGATTTAGCTCACAGGCTATAGTTTACAGACCTCTTATAGACTGGTAACTGAAAAGTACTTTCAAATATTGAGTCACACTTAATTTAAAACAAGAATAAAAACTCGAATTAGTGTAAACATTTTCAAGTATGCGTGCATTCAATAACATAATCAAGTGTCACTTTAAGTGATAAATGAAGGGGAGAAAGCTGATCTCTGCAATAGTTCATTTGTAGAAACAGCTGCTCTCTGAAATTTCTTTGAAGAAGCATATGTGATATAGATACATAGTCAATACCCCTTGTGAAAGTTGCTTGTAATTTTTTTTTCTTTTGATTCTAAATTTATTTAAAATTCACTTTCTCCTAAAAGGTTGGTTAGTATAATATATAATTTATGAAATATATTCACAGGCTAAATATGGGCATGTTTAGAGATACAGTAATATTCCTTCATTGTAATATTTTATATTTGGAAAGGGCTTTCTGACTTCCTCATTTTCATTTATATTGTTTTAGCCAGTATTTACTAAGTGCCTACTAATTAGATAAACCCTGTGTCTACAAAAATTAGTAACTCTTAGTCTCCATCCTCTAGAATACAGTCTAATGAAAAGTGCTTTCAGATATATGTCAAAATACTGGTTCTTTTATTTTTTCATTTTACTTTCTTATATCCCTGTCAGATAGTGAAAATGAGAGTCAATATTCATTCTTCTTTGGGTGGTAAGGAAATACTACCTCAGGGAGGCAAACTGATTTGCCATAAGTTATATGAGTAGGAGATATCAAATAATTTTACCAAGGTAATCAGAATTTAGGTTTCTGTAGTCTCAAATATATAATCTGTTTTGTGTGTATATATTATAGGCACATGTGTTGATGGTCAGCACTAAACCAAAAGGCCAGGTTGTTTAATTGCTGCCTTCTTGGGAATCATTAGAATATAAAAACAACCCACAGTCTGATGTTAACCATATGATCAAAAGAATGAGTCCCTCAGTGGGGACACAGACAACAAATAAACAGACAACAAATCAATATGAAGCCATTAGATTTTATGATAAAATTGTTAATCTAGGTATACTTTCTAAAACTGTTCAGTATTACCAGGTATTAGGCAGTTGATTAATTTATTCAAACTTTTTGGTATTCTTTTATTCTGTGCTGTGTATGAATGAATGTATAGCACAGAAATAGTCTTATGTAATATATAATCTCTAAACATTTATAAATGTTATAAACATAACAACAAAATGTTATAAACACTTACATGCACATGAAATTTTCTGTTTGCTCTGTACCTCTTTCAAGACGTACACATTATTTTAAGTTAGTAGGATCCATTTGAAGTAAATCAACAATATATATCTGCCTGGTACATATACTTCAAAAATTTAGCTTCAGGCTTTGTAAGTGTGTATCTTCTTCCTAACAGAAGTTTTATAGAAGAAGTTTCTCTGAGTATATCTGAGTTTCTCTGAAATATATTTATTTTGGTTAATCTTAATGAGATGTGATAGCATTATTTTTTCCACTTAAGATCTGCACATGTCAAACAGCCAACCAGGGCATTCAAAGTAAGAGAATAAGAAAGGGTAAATTTCACTTCCACGGGACTGAAATCTCTAGAAATCTCTGTCAGACAGAAATTTCCTCTATATAATTTTCCTCTGTATAACAGTTGTTTCAGTCTAGTTTGGAAGGTGAAAGATGATGATACATGGTCGTTGGTTACCTCATAGTTGCTGAGTGCAGAGAGCCAGCACAGCTTTCTTCAATCAGAAAATGTTTTGTCTTCCAGTGTGCATTCTGCTTCATATGTGCTCCCTTGGCCTCTTGGCTTTTATTCTGTCCCTCATCCTGAGACTTCTCTGTATTCCATTTTCCATGCCAGAACTCAGTTTGTTCTGGGTCACAGTAAAGTTCTCGGCTCTGAGAATAGATGGTTTCCAGATAACCTCAAGCATTTCTTTGAGTTTTCTCTCCAGGACAAAAACATGGTGATAAATTGTAGCATCTCTCTGAAGACTTTTATCTTCTTAAATGAATTTATCCTCACTAGACAAGGTAGATTATAATAGAAGTGTTGTTTTTAGATGTCCAAGGGAAATATTTGGGTAATAAAATTTTTTTTGCCAATAAAAAGTAAGACCAGTAATCTAACCCAAATTACCTGATTTGCATAAATTTTTTCAATCCAGGAACATTTTTCTTGATCTTCTCTGTATGTTAGTTAAAAGTCACGCAAGGCAATCTCGTAGACTCCCAGTAAACACTTGACTCTCCTTGTCTTATTTTTTTATAGCCCAGAAACAAACTCAAGTGCAAACTGGCACAGCCTTTTCTTCTTCTCCAGTTTTTCCTTATCAATGCTTCCAGTCTTATGAGCCATGTTAACATGTTAATATGTTGTGCAAAGACCCCAAGGAAAAGCTCATCTTTCTGGAGATGTAGACATGGTCCATTCCACAGAGCTTGAGGAGGGCATACACGTTCTCACAGAGTTGGGTCATGGCTGTGAAGCAATTGCCCCTAAAGTGATTACTCAGAAGACATAAATGTATGAAGATGATATGCATGCTCTTTAGGGTGAAAGATTACTCTTTCATATTTAGAGACTAAAAATCCTTTCGTTAAGCCAGGAGTATTGCATACTGTTATTTAAGTGGCAGAAATTCAGTTGTCTTACCTGCCTTCATTAGTGAATAAAATTTACCATTAATTTTTTCATTATTTTCAAAAGTATTTATTGAACTACTGTGAGCCAGGCATTATGCTAGATGCTTGGGACACATATGGTATAGTGAGTTCTGACCAGTAGATGTCCCTCTTACTGTTTTATTCTACCTTGAGACCATCATTTGGTTGTTTTAGAATATTTTACTGAATTTATTTCTTTACCAAAAAAGATCAGAAATTACCCATATTCTGACATGAAAAATTAAGAGATTGAAGGAAGTTCTAGATGACCAGCAGGTGTCTTACCAGTTAGTAGAGCATCAGGTGTCAAAATGTGCAAATGCCACTTTAAAGCACCCTAAACCACCCCCATTGGAAGTGGCAGCTTATCAGAATATCAGATCTGGGAGGAAAACCTTATTGAAGTTACTCAGAGTGAGACAGGAACATTAAAGAGCCCTGGCTGCTTGAATGGCAGGTGAAGGATGTCACTTTCATGGTGTCCTCTGTAATCTAGGGTATGATCTGCAGCAAGCAGGCCCAGGACAGGTCCAGCACTGCTACTGCTCTCAGGGAGGAGAGTCTCTTAAGACCAATTTATGCTTACCAAACCACAAAATACAGTGCATTCTCTAGGAAGCCAATTGATCTATTTAAAGCAAGAAATATGTCTGCTGACCGACCAATTATTGCATTGGCTGGCTCATGTGTTCTTTCCCAATAAGAAAATCTGTAGGGATTTATAATCAAAAGTTCCCTTTGCAAACCTGAAATCAGAAAAAGGAAGTTGGTGATTCTAGTGGCCAGTATTATCAAGCCATGCTAGCCTGTTATGGCTGTCTACAGTCTAGGAATCTGTCTCACAAGGAAGCCACAATACACTGGTGAGAAGCATTCCACTAAATAGTAACATAAATGAGTTGACTAATTCCCTTTTCTCTAGACTTTACGAGACCATTGTCATTATGTCGATATCTTTTCTTTTTAGATCTATGAATACGTTGATTAGGCTGCACTTTTCTTTTTATATTCAGATAAGTATAGATTTCTGTTCATTCAGTTGGCACTGGGTACCCCTCAGTGCCAGGGACCAAGCTGACCACAGGATAGAAATTCAAGGAGAGATTGAAAGGCAGTCGCTGTAAAACAGAATCTTTACAAAACAACAAAGGCTATAATCAAGGAATATATAAGAATATGTAAGTAAGTTCAGAGGAAGAAGCGCTTAATTTATTTTTATGCTTTGATTTGGGAGTCATTTTGCTCCTACAGAATGTTTGAACGTGGCAAATTGTTTCTATCGCATGTCTGGTTTACCTCTGGGAAGAGAGTATTCTCCTTTCCTCTGAAGCAATTTCGGTATAGCTTGCTGGGTACTGCCCTTGATGACTGTGTCTCACAGGCGGACTGGAAGCTACAGTGTCGACTGGAGCAAAGCTGTCTTCATAATGACTTTTTTTCTGTTCATAGCTTAATTAAAGCTGCTGAGAGTAGCATAGTAGTTCAGAATGCAGATGCTGGAGTCAGTCAGATTGGTGTTTGAATATTGATCTATCACTTACATGTTGTGAAATTTTAGGCATGTCTTTTAAGTTCTTTAAAGCTCAATTCCTTCAACAATAACCTGAAAATAATAAAACCTTCCTAAGGTTATTATGAAAATTAAATGAAATAAAGCATGGGAAATACCTGTCACATTGTAAGCACTTACAAAATGTTAGATTTAGTTGTTAGAGAAATCTGAGTTAGAGTTTAGAAAGAGTATTCCTATTGGCTTTAAAATTTTATATTCTGATACTATTTTCCCAAAATGTCTAAGAAAATATCAAATGACACATTAATTCATATTTATTTATTTTTACTTTATCCTTTATTCCAAGAAATCTTCTCTTTGTTTATTCATGGAAAGGTGGATAGTGTAAAAGCCAATTCCCAGACAAAGTTATTTGTTAGCACTTGTCAAGGTTTTGTTCAGCTCATTAATGAGGGAGCCATCAGAAAAAGAGAGCGTTTCTAGAGCATTTGAAAAACAGAAGTTTATACAGTTAATTGGGAAAGAATTACTTGGTTAGATGCAAAATTAGTTAATTCCTTATGGGGTAGTAAACTCATAAACTTTGGAGTTATCATTCCAACCAGGCCAAAAAAAAAAAAAAATCAACAAAAAGGATGTCTTCTGAGAGACTAAAATAACTGTCATATTAGAAAATATTCTAACATTATATTTAAAAAAATTCACAAATCATAATTTGCTTTATTTCCAAGTGTTTCATATTTTCCTCCTACAATAAATAACTGTTTTAGTTTATAGTAATTAAGCTTCTTCATTGCTTCATTCCCCCTTGTGGAATACAAAATTCTTTCAACAGCAATAATAAAGAGATATGAGATGATTACCAATTGTTGGGTGGAGTTAGAATGTTTTGTTTTTATTGGAGGAGAAATGCTAATATGGAAAACAAGAAGCAGGCTGAGAGTCAAGAGGAGCAGTTGGCTTCGAAGGAGGAAAGAAGGTGTGAGAATGTGGAGGAAGAGGATGCTCCCGTATTCTGCAAGGTTGCCTCTGGACTTCCTTAGATCTCTTCCCATGTTCTTAGAGCTATGACCCTCTCTTCTCTAGGAAAAAGGAGGAGATGGCAAAAGTTTGCCCAGGGTCTGCAGAGAATGGTGATGGAAACCATGCCTTATGAGACTCTCCTTCTAGGTCTAATGTTTGTTCTCACTGGGTTCAAAGCTCCTCCCTTTGTTCTCTCTTAGCAGGGCCTAATCTATTCTCTCTTTTCATTCATAGTGGCATTGATGTCCACTATGCAGTAACCTTCAATGGTGAGGCCATCAGTAATACTACCTGGGACCTAATCAGCCTTCACTCCAACAAGGTGGAAAACCATGGTCTTGTGGAATTGGATGATAAGCCCACTGCTGTTTATACAATTAGTAACTTCAGAGATTATATTGCTGAGACACTGCATCAGAATTTTTTGCTGGGGAACTCCTCTTTGAATCCAGATCCTGAATCCCTTCAGCTTATCAATGGTGAGTTTGAAATTGATATGGAAATCCTTATATAGTTTTAGTTTCTTTTCTCATATGCTCTGGAGAAAACTAATGTCTCTAAATATATACAGTTCTGAACATTCTCTAGACTGCATCCTTTTATGAATGGAGCTTTAGCTATGCAGCTATTTTGGGTAAATTAATCAAGGGCTCTATGATTAGAGAAGGCCACTCTTTGTGGAGACAGAAGGCCACTTTTTGTAGAGAATAACATGATTTTTAGAAATAGTTTAGAGAAATGGAAGCAAAGTATAAGAAAGTAAAGTAGTATATGGAATTATAAACTGAAACAGGCTGTAGTCCTGCCCGGGCAACCAACACATCAACTGTCTAGAGGCAAGTCAGCTGGTAAAGGCTTAAAAGCCAGAGAGCAGAAGAGAAAGAGCAGCTCCAGGAAAATGGATGGAAGACCTTGGTCAAAGAAGAGCTGATCCTGGTCGCTGGGCAGAATCCCAGGGAATCCAATACTAAGTTTGAATTCAGATAGCTGTACACATCCAGTATTTATCCAAAATCAATAGGTGGGTCTAGGATCATCAAGGAGAGGCTGACAACACTGGATTTAGGGGCTAAAGAGTAGCCTAGCCTGGCATTAAAGCTGGCTAAGGGTCTGGTTACCGGTGTGCAAGAGCTCAACTCATCGGAGACATGGCGTCTTGTTAACTTACTTGTTACTTCATGTTTGCTTCTCCACAATTTCTTCACTCGGTAGTCTAACTTTTAAAACGTCCAGAGTGTATTTTATTGAAGTGACCGTATGGAAAAACTACCAGCTGCCAAAGAGGAAGATCCATGAATGAGCAGCAATACTAACAATGATGCGTTTTTACAGCCTCCCCAACTCCCACATATCCTTCAGAGAAAGGAAGCCTCTGTTCTTTCAGGCAGCTGCCAACCTTGGCCTGTGTGTGTGTGTGTGTGTGTGTGTGTGTGTGTGTGTGTGTGTGTGTGAGAGAGAGAGAGAGAGAGAGAGATAATAAAAATAGATACAAAGGAGAGAGAAAAGAGAAACAAATTTTTAACAAAATTTTACTATGTATAATTCCTTCCTAAATAAGATATTTTTTTGAGAGACTGAACTAAAACTTTGAATTGCTTTTCGATTATTTTGGCTGCTGGACTGATGTTTCTTTAACATGATAGTGTGCTGAGACAGCCACAAAGTGGCCTGGACTTTATGGGGGTTATATAGGACTTTAAAGTGAAGAAACTCTCTTCAGTGGATGATAGTGATATTAAACTATCAGTTCTAAAATAGTAGGGGGCCTTCGTATATTAGAGCAGGGTGGATACCCTGAGCTTACTTCCTCATGAGCTTTTTTTTCTCTGTTAAATCTTGTTAGAATACCTAAGTCAGATAAAATAGTGAAAAGAGGTTTATTATAATCTGAAATTGTTACAGTCCTTTTGGCAAGGCTGATATGGACTAGCTGGGGGCTACCTAAGAAGACAGCATTTGGCAGAAGTTTCCAGGAATCTGGATATTGGGATCAAACAGAAAATATATAGCTAAGAGGTCATGACCTGAGGGAGATGGGCACCTAAATTGACCTTCCAAGGGCAGGGTGGTGGAAGAATGGCATGGGGATTAAGGTATGCAATAGGCAAAGTCAGGTTGTTTGGGAAACTAAATTCACAAACAGCTAGCAAAGTCTTCCTTTTATGTGGAGCCTCTGGGTAGAGATATCTCCTCGAAGGTGCCCTAAAAAAGAGGTTAATGGTCCTCTCAGAAATTCCAAGAGAGTTCAATGAAAGCTTCAGGATATGCAGTACAAACTATTTCAGGTGCTTTGATCTTTCATTAGATGTACTTTTCAATAACTCAGAATTTTTTCCCTAAAATCTATTTTTTTTTGTCATGCCAACTTCAAAGTTGGGAATGGCTACAGCTTTCTAGGTAACTTGATCATCATCGAAAGATATGTTCATCCTCAATCTCATCATTCTTGTTCTTCACAGAAGACAAGATAACTGTATACAAAACTGAAAAAGAGTTTTAGAAAATACTTAAACCAAATAAGGTTTTTGGTTTCTGATTGATCTCTCTATGTCAGGCCCGATAGGACAGGTGAACAGGGAGATATTCTGCTTCTATTTTTGGTACATATACCAGTTCACCCTCCTGGCAATCCTTTCTTTTTAGCTTTCATTGATTCCCTCTCCCCTCCAGGCAAAATCAGTTTCTCCTATGTCTATGTTCCCATATACTGTATAGAAGCCCCTTGCATCATTTATAATTTGTATTTATCTCTCTGACATAGAAAGTACTTCCACAAGAGAAACTTGGCTTTATTATTGTTTATTGCCTCAACTTTATAAAAGTCTATAGTAACTAGCAAAGATTCAGTAAGTTTTTGTTGAATTAAATTATACAACCTGCTCTCAACTTTATTGCTTTGTAGTATTGGTATAGTGATAAACTCTCTGGTGTCCTAGCCCATTTTTCAAAGAAACTTTCTGCCAAAAAAGGAAATTGTTTTGTATAATTTTCTCCATCATAAGCATCAACCAAATGAGTTGGAATTTCAGTTTGACTTTCTCATTAAAATGAAAAAAATCAATGTAAAAACAACTGTTTCATAGGAATCTTGTAAAGAATAAAAACTGCTCGAGAAAGGAGAGAAAGTAATATAGGAGTGTCCTACATATAATAATGGGAAGAATATTTTATGTTGGAGTCTTAGAATTCAGACAGATTGTGCTAATATAAGTAAAATATCTGAATAAAGTAGCAAGCATTTTCTAAGCAAGTCTCCCCCATCTGTTCTGCTCAAATCTAAACTATAAAAAAGAACTTGGTTTCTAGTTGTCCCTGAACCTCAATACAATAATGTCTCAATTAAAAATGTTCTTTAATATTGTTATTTCTTCAGTGAGAGGAGTTTTACTACCCCAAACTGAAGACCTGGTTTGGAACACCCAAATTTCAAGTCTTCAGGCAACCTCACCATCTATTCTGGTAAGTATATTTCTGTGTTTTATGCTAGACTAGCCCCTCAAGCTTCACTTCTTCATACCCTTACCTGCTTACTTTGGCATCACAAATTTCTCGAGCTGTTCCTGCTTCAAATATTCTCTTACATCATCCCTGGAACATTATTCATAGTTGTCAGCTCATGAGTCCCAAGTATTGGGCTAGAAATTTAAGCCTTCTGCAGTGGTTAAATGGAATCCACACATTTGGCATTGCTAAACTTCACACGGTAGAAAACTTATTTATGGTTCATATTTGTATGGCGATAATTAAGGTATAAGTGCCCACTGAGTTGTTCTCTAAAAGTTACACAGAAATAGTTTCTATAGGCAAGGCTATAAATCGATGGACATCGATGCAGAGTATAGATTTTTGCTCTAAGGATTGTATTGAAGAAAATGTTTGGACTCCAAAGCATATAGAACAGTGCGTGTATGGAAAGGAGAGGAGGGAGAGTAAAAATATTGGCTAGCTGACAAATGACAGAGACTCTAAATCAGGTCTCCTTTCAACTTGGGCTGAAAACATTCTCATTTGTACAGAAACAGTGTGGAATGAACTTTTATTTTTGTTCTTACTACCCAAGTTTCCTGGCTACTTCTCTACTCCCTCCAAACTTCCCCATGCCACTTTACCCATAGGGAAGTATCCAGAAAAAAAGAAAGTGGCTTCTTTAAGTGAAGAAAACAACAATGACAACTACAACCACAACCCGACTAGACACTCACTTGTCTACAATGAGCATAGGATCATTTATTATCACATAGACATGGCAGGGCAGGGTGTGGGGAGGGGAGACTCTCTTTTATATTTCCCTTCTGCTCTCTTGAGACTTTTATTTCTGTCTCATATAACAGAAATAAATTAATGGTAATTAATTCGAAATACTTGTTTCTTGGCTTTAGCACAGCAATGAAAATTTAGAAAACCTAATCAAAATTCACTTAACCATTACTATAAGCAGCCATTTCTTCTACTCAGTTATAGAGCAACACAGTTCTGAAGAGCGGAATCACTGGAAATAACTCTTTTTACCGAGTTCCATATTGAAGAAAAAAGGTTAGCGGGGGATTGACATCAGAGATTACGTTAATTTTGTGTTTATTTATTCATTTACTTATTCATTCATCCGAATATATTTATTTTGTGCCGTTCATGCCAAGTTTTGGGGAAAATAAGTTGAATAAGGTGTGGCCTTGCCTACAAGAAGTTTCCAGTCTGGTAGCAGTAGACAGACTTCTACACAAATAAGGTGATGCTACCACAGAAGTCCATCCAGGGCACAGTGGCGGGGAGTTGGTGATTCATTGTGAACAGGGCACCACTAGTCTCTTTCGCTAATCACATTTAACTCAGAGCTTCTTTACACACAGAAGATCTGTGGTGATAATTTAGATAAAGACAGGAATTTCTATATAAGCCAGCTGTTGCAAACCAGAGACCAGCTGCTGGCTAGATCCAGTTATAGACATGTGCTTTAGGGTCAAGTTAAAAAAAATGCACAAATATTTAAAAATTAGGAAATTTTTGCAACTTCTTTTGAAAACTTGGAAGATTTGGTATCTTTAAGTTCACATTCCCTTATTTCAGAAAGTGGCTGGAGCTTGGCTGAAAGTGACTGCCCCTTTGGGCAAGCACTGACTAACTGGGTTCATTTGTTCATTTATATTACTTGTTCTGTGGTTCCATATGCATTTATGCCAACCCTTTAGTTTTTTGAATAGTGATAACTGTAGGGCATTAACTAACAATTTGTGGAGACAATAAAATGTTAATGGATGATAATTAAGACATGAAAAAAAGAATGATTAATTAGAAGTGTATGGTTATTGTTCTTTTTTCTTTTTGGCAAACAGCTAACAAGATTTTGTTCCTTAATAAAAGTGAGATTTCTTTAAACTTGATTCAATTTTTAGAAATTATTTTAGAGGTAGGAATGTTGGGACATTGAATTTGATACCTTTTGGCATTCTGTCTTGGAAAATCACTTGTCACAAAGTATGCTTTCTATAGCATAGCAGGTCTTTCAACTGGCATTAGCAGAAATGAAACTGGCCAATATAATATTAAACTTGTTAATATACTACATTGAACTAAAAGAAGAATTCATGAGTTGAATTTGTTACTATGGGACATTTATCCATATAAAAATAAATGAAGTGCTTTTTCTGGCATGTAGGTGGTCACCTTTCAAAATGTTTGAGAAACTTCATTGCCATTTTTTAGGGGGTACTTATTTGAAATAGATGGCCTGCCTTCTCTATTTAAAAAGTTAAGTGTCTACTTCCACATTTTATGTTGCTTACTTGTGACTTGACTTTTATTAAAGATATTAAGTGTTACTTTTAATTTTTATGGAATGAAAAGGCATTTAGTTTATAGATGTATTGCTTGGGAATTTCTTTTTCATTGAGAATGCAGCTGCTTTCTTAATGTGTGTCAAGTCATAGGCACTGTCTGATAAAATTCGATTTCTTAATACTGGTTAAAGGGCTTAAACCATTTAGGTTAGAATTTTGAAAAAGTGCAGATTTAGAATTTGTAAGGATGTAAAATACCTGACTCACCTGGAAGCACGAGTGACTTTAACACTTCTCTAGAAGTGGTTTTAGATAATTAAGAGAAAAAAAAGGTAAAATTGTCATCATCATAACTATTTTTTTTAAGGAACAGAACTTGGTATTGAGCAAATGGCTGTCTTTTCTCTGAATGCATATATGGTTTTAGATTCTAGAAGGAGAAATGGGAAAGGAAGAAACTTTTCTTTCTGTGTGAATAATCTCTATATTCAACATAGCAGACATTTAAATATTAGAAAATGTCCCCTCCCCTTTGTGTTCACCCATGTTTTATAGATCTGTGCACATATGCCAACTTGAATGAGAATGGACTGCCAAATCTGTTAGCTCTAGTTTTTCCTCTGGGAATCCTTTTGACATCTGGATATATACACTTGTACATATATCTCTGAATGAATATAGTGGGCAAAGCATGGGGATCGAGAACTCTAGAAACTCAGACACTAGTTCTGATTTTTTTCTCTTTTTTGTGGGACATTTCACTTCTATGAATCGCAGTTCCTTATCTTTAATAGGCAAGGTTGGTCTACATGATTCTTAAGAGTCCTTCTAGTTCTAAAATTTGATACTTCATGTTCATGCATATGCACATGCTCAGTTCCCCTTCCCAACATAGGTGTTTATAAATGCAAGGATGGCCTTATAAAGAACCTGAGCCTTTGGCAAGACAAAAGCTGGTATTTTTATTTTTTTTCTTTTCATATTCTAGACTTCAGTTTGTTGTCTTTTTATTTATCCGAAATTGAATTCTTACGCTCTCCAACTGGCCATTCTCTCCCTTCTCCTCCAGCTTTATTGAAATATAATCAACACATAACATTATATAAGTTTAAGGTGTACAATGTGATGATTCGATACACTTATATATTGTGAAATGTTTACCACAGCAGTGTTAGTTAATACCTCTGTCACTTCACACAATTGTCATTTTTTTTATGTGTGGTGAGAACACTCAAGATTTACTCTCTAGGCAACTTACAAGTATATAGCACAATATTGTTAACTGTACTCACCATGTTGTACATTAGATATTTAGAACTTACTCATCTTATAACTGCAAGTTTGTACCCTTCACCAGTTTGAGAGTTTTTTATCATGAAAGAATGTTGTATTTTGTCAAATGCTTTTTCTGCATATATTGAGATGACCATATGATTTTTATGCTAATTCTATTAATATGGTATATCACATTTATTAATTTCATTATAATATATAGTACATATGGTAAATACATTGTTATTGTTTTGCATATATTGGCTTATAGTTTTCTTATAGTGTCTTTGTCTGGTTTTGGTATCAGGGTAATACTGGCCTTGTAAAATGAGTTTGGGAGTGTCCCCTCCTCTTCAGTTTTGGAGTGAGTTTAAGAAGGATTGGTATATTCCTCTCTAAATGTTTGGTAGAATTCACTGGTAAAATCTCTGGTCCTGGGCTTTCCTTCGTCGGGAGGTTTTTTGTTATTGAGTCAATCTCCTTACTAGTAATTTGTCTGTTTAGATTTTCTATTTCTTTATGATTCAGTTTTGGTAGGTTGTACATGTCTTGGAATTTATCTATTTCTTATGGCATATGGTTGTTGGCATATGGTTGTACACAGTAATCTGTTATTTTCTTTTGTATTTTTGTGGTATCAGTAGTAATGTCTTCTTTTTCCTTTCTGATTTTATTTGTCTTCTCTCTTTTTTTGAGTCTAGTTAGTTTTTCCAATTTTGTTTATCTTTTTAAAAAACTGGCTTTTAGTGTTGTTGATATTTCCTATTGCTTTTCTACTCTGATCATTGATATTTTCTTCTTTCTGCTAACTTTGGGCTTTGTTCTTTTTTTTCTAGTTCCATAATGTGTAAAGTTAGTTATTTGAGATTTTCCTTTTTTCTTATTGTAGGTATTTATTGCTAGATATTCTCCTAGAACTGCTTTTGTTGCATCCTGTAAGTTTTGATATGTTGTGTTTTCATTATTGTTTGTTTCAAGACTTTTTCCCCCTCTTTGGATTACTTTTTTCTTTTTTTGACCCATTGGTTATTCAAGAGTATGTTCTTTAATTTCCCAGGCTATATCCTCTTCTTGAGAGCTTTAAAAAATATTAAGTCTAAGTTCCATCCTCAGACCAATTAAGTTAGAATCCCTGGGATATAGGACCTAGGCATTGGTGTTTTAAAAACGCTTCTATGGGAGCATTTGAGATCTTGCTCCCTGGCATATGTCATCAGTTTTGCTCAAATCAACTCTTATAAAAATTCGAAAAAAAGAAAATTAGAAGCTTCCATGTGATTTTAATGTTATTTAGAGTAGAGAATGATTATGCTATTTTCCATTTCCAGTTTTCACTCAGGAAATATTTTATGAATTTCTTCTATGCATATGGCACTGCTTGTGTTTAGTTATTCATAACCCAGCATAGATGGAAATATATAACCCCCCACCAAATGTTATGGCCATTTTACCTATTAGCATCATCACTAAACTTTTTTACGTAGACTAATCTTCGTAATAGCATGTTCAAGGATTGTTTCTGTCTACTTTTTTATTCCTGAAGCTAAATTTTAATATAAGTATTACATTAGTAAAAAGTCACTAGGAAGAGAAAGTTGTATTTTGTACATGTGATACCATTTCACAGATGTTGCTATTTGTTCGAGGTAACCAGACCACAATTTGATGTGGTGGTATTTCTTATCAAAACAAAAGACCTTAAAAATGCCTTTCAGAATGATGAATCAAATTGCTAATTGTTCATTTCAGATCTGGGCAATGTGCCGAGGTCTTTGACAACAACTTACAGGTATTAGTAACTTCTGTGTATTTAAAGTATGTAAGATAAGACAGAGAAAAAGGAATCATCTAAAGCAAGAGAAACAATATTTTCTTCCACAAATTTACTTTGTTTTAAATATGTTATCTTGTCTAGCCTCACTTTCTACATGAGTTTCAAGAGGTATATGATTTTTTCCCCAGATTTTGCATCTAGTAGGTTGTTTGAACTGGGATTTGATTACAGATCTGTTTGAATCTAGATCCCATGGCCCCCCTACCCCGCAATATTACATTGCCGCCTTGTCCCTAGAAAATCTGGGAATTTAGTTAGGTAGGTGGTATTTAAAATTATTTTTATGTGTTCCTTTTATCTCTGATATGATTTAGCCTTTTTTTCACCCCCAGGATAATACCCATCAAGCTGAATGGCCCTCAGCAGATGAATCCACCACCAGCAGTATTTCACCACTTGATTTCAGCTCTGGTCCTCCCTCAGCCACTGGCAGGGAACTCTGGTCAGAAAGCTCTTTGGGTGATTTAGTGTCTACACCCAAATTAGCCTTTCCCTCGAAGGTGGGCCTCAGTTCTTCCCCAGAGGCTTTAGAGGTTAGCAGCCTGACTCTTCATTCTGTCACCCCAGCAGTGCTTCAGACTGGCTTGCCTGTGGCTTCTGAGGAAAGGACTTCTGGATCTCACTTATTAGAAGATGGTAAGGAATTCTATTCATTTTTCATAGTTCTTTTCTTTATTGTATCAGATGAGGAGAGGAAGAGACTAGGGTTCATAGAAAAGCATGATAACATCCATCAGGAGGAAATGTCTTCAGGAGGTTGTGTGAGAAAGGGAACAATCAGATTTAATTGATTGCAATGGAGAATCCAAACAGGTAAGTAATAAGAAATGAACTTGTTGGGCTGGGCTGAGGATCAATTAATAGGTATTTTGAAAATACTATTAAAAATATATAATTAAATTACTATTAAAGAACTACTTTACTTATGTGAATATTGGAGTGGTAAGCAAACATCAAAGAAGATTATTCCAGTAGTTTTTAATAGGATTAATTGTGGGGCCAAGAGATTTTTAGCTTGCATTAGGCTTCAGAAGGAGAGAATGTAAACTAAGGCAGCTAAAGCAGAGATTAAGAAAGGAAAATCAAGTAGATGTTTTAGATGTTGTAGAGGAAAGGAAAAATCAATGTGACTTAGATATGAAGTATACATGTGAAAGAGGAAAATGAACAAAGATATAAATAATGAGTCCAGGATTTTGAACATTAGGTAAACCTGAAGGATGAAAGACAATAAACATAACAAGGAAATAGAAATTCAAAGACAAACAAAATTTCCAAGGGAATTATTTCAATACCCAATATCTTGTTATTCTTAGGGAAAGGGGGTATATTCATGAGTGATTGTATCATACCACAAAAACATAATCATATTGTCTTGTTGTTTGCTGGATACAGCAAAGTAAAACCCGGCAACTGTCTTTCTTAATCTGATGGGAAAAAATCAGGTACCTGGTTTTAGTAAGAGGACTGAGAATATATTTGGGTAACTTTGTAGATTAATTAATAAAAAACTTTATTTTTAGGTTTAACCAAAGTCGAAGGGTCAGAAGATTTTCTTTCTATTGATCCATTGCCTTCAAGCCCACTCACTCTTCTTGTGCCAAAAGAAACAATACCATCCTTGGAAGACTCTGGGGTGTCTCTGACATCCTCCCCATATCTGGTCTCCTCTGTCACATTAGATCTTCTTGCTAAAGGAGTAACTACACCTTTTGGCTTGGACTCTTTGGCCTCCAAAGTCAAAGGCAAATTAGAAGTGAACACTTTGATGCCAGACACATCTGTGGAAAAAGAGTTTATATTTGAGAGTGGCTTAGGTTCAGGGTCTGGGGAAAAGGTGAATCTGATTACTTGGCCATGGAGTGAGACTTCATTAGAGAAGAGCACTGAACCACCGTCCAAGTCATGGCTTGAAGATGAGGATTCACTTTTGCCAAGTGAAGGTGTCGATGAGAAACTAGTTATAGATGACAAAATAGAGTCCACAGACCCAAGTACTGAGCATTCAAAATATGGGCATTTTGATAGATCCACAAAGTCTGCAGAGGAAGAGCCCCTTGGTGGACTTACTGTGCCCATCTTTGTAGAAAGCACAACTCAACCTGCATCTCTAATTCTTTCCAAGCATACATCAGAGGGACCTGACATTGATTATTACTCTGTTACCAAAGCATCTCTACTGACAGCTATCGCAATCTCTGCTTCTACTGATAAACCAGATCAAGTAGAACCCTTTCTAAAGGAGGACATGGAACAAACTGCAGAGTCATCCAGTTATGAATGGTTTGATAGCAAGAGTTCAGTAGTGAAGCCAGATATGCGACCTTTGTGGACCATATTGCCAGAATCAGATGTATTTTGGGCAAAAACTTCTTCCCTAGGGAAGGTGTCCAGAGACACGTTGGCAAGTACACCAGAGAGTATTGACAAACTCTGGTTGAAAGCTTCCATGACACAGTCTACCAAATTGCCTCCAAGTACAAGCCCCACCCTGGTGGAGGATGAAGTAATTATGGGCGTTCAGGATATTTCATTAGAACTGGACCGGATAGGCACTGATTACTATCAGCCTGAGATAATTCCAGAGGAAAATGGCAAGGTTGGTAGTTATGTGGAAATGTCTACAAATCTTCACTCCACAGAGATGGCTATTGTGGCTCGGCCCACAAAAAGAGGTGACTCAAATCACACAAAGACCACAGGAGCTTTGCTGGTTTTCTTCAGCCTCCGAGTGACTAACATGATGTTTTCAGAAGATCTATTTAATAAAAACTCGTTGGAGTATAAAGCCCTGGAGCAAAGATTCTTAGAATTGGTAAGCACAAGATGTAAAATGTGGGCATTAGTGGGTAATCGTGTATGAACCACTCTTTTTCCCCCTCAACACATAAGATCTGAGCCAAGGAAAGTGTGGTCTGCTGTGGTCACTCATTTTTTATCATCTATAAATAGTGTCATGGCCTAGGGTTGGTAGGAAAACAATAAGACAGGTGGATACAAGAAATAGAAAACAGAAATGTGGCGTGATGGTAATGTAACAACTTAGATGCTGAAGGTTGTTTTTCATGAATTCTGGGACTGAAACAAGTTTGAGTCCCCCCCACCCCCACCCACATTTAACTGTGAGACCAATGTTTCATGGATACCTATGATGCCTTTACTGTTGTGATCCTTCAGTGAAATAAAGAGAATGAACTCTCTGGTGTCTAAAACTGTCTGTGAGTTCCATGGAGTTCCTAAATATCACTATGAAAATCTCAGGAATCTCAAATTATTCACAATTTATACTTTTGTTGATGAACAGTTTGAATAATGTAATTAGCATACAATTTGGAAAAGGAGGAAGGATTCATCCTTGTTTATTTATTTAAGTTGTTTTGGGGGTATGTGTTGAACAAAATACAAAACATTGTCAATAAACTGACCACTTTTCATATTTTGTAGCTGGTTCCCTATCTCCAGTCAAACCTCACAGGGTTCCAGAATTTAGAAATCCTGAACTTCAGAAATGGCAGTATTGTGGTGAACAGCAGAATGAAGTTCACCAAGTCTATCCCTCCTAATGTCAACAGTGCTGTGTACATGATTCTGGAAGACTTTTGCACCACTGCCTACCAAACCATGAACTTGGCTATTGATAAATACTCCCTGGATGTGGAATCAGGTAATGATATTGATTACCATGGTGGAATCCAGTGAGTATTCTTGTGTATTTTCTTCTACCCCGAGTCAAGGTGAATTCAATATTTGTAAGTAAAAGAGTATTATGTCAGGCAAAATTTCCACATCTTGATAATTAGTAAAATATCTCTTCCACAGACATTAGTATCACTTTTTTTTTTCCAAAAGGGTTGTGCACATGCTTCCTTTACTTATTTACCTCCCATTCCTTTTCTACCTACTCTATCTGTTTCTCTCTTTTATGTATCCGTTGGATCTCTTTGTTCTTGATACATCTCTATGTTGCCAAATCCAGTAGATTTGGACTCTTCCCTTCTATATTATTTTGATAAGTGGTTTTATCCATTTCTATTATTGTAAATTCAATGCAGATGTCAATAACTTTTCACATTTTTATATGCAAGTCAGACTTCTGAGCTCTAGAATCAATATCCAACTGTATACTTGATAACCTCAACTTGGACGTACTTTATATATATCAATCCAACTTAAGATGTCTAAGAGTGAGCTCTTGTTTTTTCCTATCTCCCTACCTTCCAGCTAAATCTTTTCCTCTCAGTTTCATCATCTTGCTAAATAGAAGCTGTGTTTACTCAGCTACTTAAGCCAGAAAGCTGGGAAGTCATTCTGATACCTCAGTTTCCATCACCCTCAACTTCAGTCACTCATCAAACATATTGATTTTAAATTCTAAATAATCTCAAATCTATACTTCTCTCTACCTCCAATGCCACTACTAGGCCAAACATTGTCAAATCTCATTTGGACCAGTTTCCCTATTACCTCTCATGTTCCCTTCTCCCATCCATTCTCCAGACAGCAGCCAGGGTGCTCCTTTTTAGACATCAATCATATTATTTTACTTTCCTGCTCAAAATACTTCAGCGGTTGCCTAGTTCAATAGCTACAATGCCTGGTTCCTATCTTCTTCCCCAATATCATCCAATGAAACTAATTTCTTTGCTCACCAAGTCAAACTAGCTCATTATTAGATCCTCAGATTGAAAATACTTTTCTTGCCTTATAGCCTTTGTACATGCTGTCTCCTTTGCCTGAAACTCTTTC